TATAGTCATAATTAAAGTACGTGTAACTGCAAGGGCTTGGGGGTTTTTTTATGTGTAAGGCGTGCACTGTTTGCGGCAGCACGCTAGCAGTTTTCATGCTACCCATGGAATACACAGGCTGGTGCCTGCTCGTGCCGTCGATTTGCCCATGAGCGGCGTCTCTCGGATCACAACTGCGCAAGACGACCTGAACTTGCTGTTCTGGGCTGTGACCTTGACGGAATGCCGCGTCTATAAAGCTAATCGATTCTTCAAAGGGTAGCTTAAAACCTCTCTAAAACTCTTTCCACCACGTACGTTATGCTCTTTACTCATTTGGGTTTATACTTAGCTGAAGCTTATGTAAATTTGGAGGGCAGAGTACTCACGCAGTGTTACGTCTCAAAATGAAAGTTAGTTGCCAAAGTAGCTCAAACATTTATATGTATGGAAAGTGGTACGTCCTCCTGTTTCCGGGTAAGTTGTGAGAGATAAGTCTGATGGAAATGGGAGGCAAATATAGATAGAACAGAGTTAAGTGCATGAAGGTTCTGGCTCTTGCTACAGTACTCTAGTGATAATACCATTTCTATTACAGGCTGTGGCATAGTCGAGAGTAAGTAGTAAATGTACCTTGTTGTCTGAAAACCACATAACAAAATAGTAAAGCATATTTTCTTGTGTACTTGCAGGAACACAGTGTTATCTAATTATCTAAGTGACCATGCTGGCTGCGAGGCTAGTATGCCTGAGGGCATTATCATGCCAGACTATCCGCCCCACCATTACTCAGGCTTCCCCAGCTTTGAGGAGCTCCAATATAAAAGCATACAGGCTGTGGCAGCCTAACCAGGTAAGGTAATTCTCTTTCTAAAGGTTCTGACTACTGACACTTTAGAGTTGAGTGTTTTGCCAAAAGAATCGCTTTGCATGGAGTACCTGTTTTGAACGATCACGAGCCTTCTGCTTGTGTGAGGTACCTGCTCTAATCTACTGAAGGAAGAGTGTTACTCAGTCAAAAAAACAGGGGGTTTAAGAGCAATTGAAATAATATCTTTTGTTCCAATGACTATTTCTCCATTGAAATTACTGGAAAAAAGACCTTAAAGGAGGTAGTTAGTGATGGACAAGCCTTACTATGTAAGGTGGGAGGAGCAGAAATTCTTGTCTGACCTCCTCCTAGCTCCCTGTTTCCAAGTAAGAGTCTTAAATATAATATTAAAGTAAAAACTTTCTTTTCAAAGACTTGAGTCCCAATATGTGTTTAGAGCTGTAGCCCAGGTTAGAACAATTTCTGAACTATGGTAGGACTATCGTGCATCTTGCCAGCAATTTTAAGAACTGGACTGTTGTTATCCTAAGACGCTGTCTGTTTATTCTTTATTGAGAGAAGACGTTTGACTTTTGCTTTCCGCCCAGGTAACTCACAACCGTTAGGAAGCATTGCTCTTTTGTCATCATCTTGGTGAAAGTGCCAGTGGCAAATTCTTCACCTCCTTTGTGTTTTCCTCTTAAGCATAGAAAACTGTTTTAAGCATCCTAAGTTTGTTGGGGTTTTTTTTGTCAGCTGTTTTGTCTTGAGGGTTTTTTTTGTGGTGGTTTTATTTCTGTGGCAAGTGCTACATAATTACAGCGTTGGGCTAGATTTGGTTAGATGCAAAACACAAAAAAACCTGAAGTGCTATGGTAAACTTCCTGAATTTTATTGCTGGCTTGGCTGATGATAGCAATGCTTGTAGATTTCAGGTTTTAGTAACAAACTCACAGCTTTGAGTGAGCTCTTGGTTGCTCAGGTGTCTGTATAATAATTTAGAAATTCCTGGGAAAAATTAGTTTCTGAACTCAAATATGAGCTTATTCTGTGTTGCTCTTGCAGCTTCCTAAGACTTTGAGCAGCATGCTATATTTATTTGGAGCTTGTCAGCCTTAAAAATCTTAAGTTTATAGGCCTTCATTCAAGGTTTGTTCTCTAAATCAAGGCTGGAGTTGAAAACAAAGACTTCGTACTGCTTTCCCAAATTTATGTCTGCAAAGTATAAGTGTTTTGCAAGAATTTTTTTTTACGTAAAAGTGTTTCCATGAAGAGTGTTTTTACATAGAAAGCAAAATAATTTTTTTACAAAATTAACTGAAGAGTATGTTTTTAGACTAAAAAAAAAAAAAAGCCTCGTGGCCTTGTTTAGTACAGTGGGACTGGAGTAGAAGAAACGCAGACTGAAAACTTCAGCTTCTGAAATTCACTGCATTGGTTCTGTACTTCTAGAATGCGTGAACGTTATTCACAAAGCTTCCTACGCTTTAACGTTCAGTTGTTTTTCTTGAGCACAGTCTTTGGGAGGTAAGCACAGATGAATAAGAGACTATGTAGCAATTTCAAGTGTAGCAAGTGAATTGATAAGAAATGTCTTCTTTTTTATGTCATTGAACCTTTCTTATGTTATTTCTGAATCCAACAGTGTTATGCCACCAGAGTAAGAACGGGTGTAAGGCGTGGAAAAATTGGCCAGGAAATTAAAGAAGCAGCATTTGAGCCATCTGCAGAAACGGCACTTAAAGGTAGAGTAGCTCTGCTTTAAATACCAAGAATCTTTGAAGCTTAACTTGAAACGTCCTCACGTGAATCGGTTTCCTTCAAACCGTTAAAGAGACAAAGAATATTGTTTCATGTGTAAGTTTGCTTAGCGATCTCCCTCAAACGACTGGAGACAGTTTCTCTGTTTTTCTTTCCTTGTAAAGTTTAAAGCTGCAGATATGTCACAGTATAGAGAAATTCCTTCTTGTCTCTACTTTAAGCTGCTGTTGAGAACTATTAAGTAAAAAATGGTTGTCTCTTAATGGAGACGTGGTTGCAGATATTAAAAAAAAATACACTAACACTTGCTTTGCTACGTCTCCTTTGTATACTTTTTAAATGAAGGATTTTTCTACAGTGTGAGTGCAGTTTGCAAAAAAAAAAAGTTTCTGGTGCTACGGTTATGTAAGGCATGGGTTTACTGTGCTTGCTAGTACATCTAGCGTGGATCGTAATTTCAGTGGATTACAAAGGGATTTTTTTAGATAGCAGTGTTCAGCAGAACAGACTTGTAAATGTCCTGTAGTAGCATTGAATTGACAAATGGAATATATGTAGATTGGCTAGATAGTGTCTTGGCTATAACACATTAGGAAAAAGCATAGTCTTAGGGAGTTATACAACTGAAAGTATTTGGTCTCAGCTGCTCTTACTTCAGTTATAACAACATTTTATGATTGATATTTATATTTGTAGCAGTAATCTGATATGTGGCACACAGGCAGTATGTCTGAAAATCAGACAGTAAAAACCAATAGTAAGTCATGTGTTGTTGCCCATGAGCTTTAGAAATCCCTTTTTAAACTGATCTGGATCTAATTGCCACCAAAGAGCTCTTGAAGGAGCAAGGATTAAGGGCAGATGAATGAGAGGAAAGGACACAGTCTCTAGTTTTTTCTCCTGTTTCATAGCGAGCTGGATAGTGAAATGGTATACTAAACCAGCTGACAGGTGAACTCTTCTGTTGGAGAACCTGTTAACTGGTTTTGCATTGGAATTCCTGTCACTGTAATAAAGGTCAGTAAACCTGGCATGTTACTAGCTGGTCTCTTATTTTTTAGTCTGGTTTATGTGTTAGTAGGCTGAATCTAGAGTTTTTCACATGTAGCTCATTGAGAACTGGTAATGCAGTGACTTAAAGTTAAGTGGAGCTTTAAGAAAGAATCCTAACATGGATCAGCTATTACAGATACAACAAAACTCATGTGAGGATGTTATTAACTAGCCAAGAAAAAGCATTCATGAGAGTGTGGATTTTTTTTTTATACAGTTGACCGTCTGGGGAGATTTATTGTTGCTGGAGGGGCTGCTGTTGGCCTGGGGGCCCTCTGTTACTATGGAATGGGCATGTCCAGTGAGATCGGAGCTATTGAAAGAGCTGTGTAAGTAAGATGGTTTACTGTTTTAAGTAAAGGGTACATTAAGTGAATCTTCCTCCTCTTTATATGTGTCTGTTCTTCAGCTGGTATTACCCAGTGTACACACAGCTTACATTTATTTTTTTTTTAAGCTCGAACAGAAAGCCCTTGCCTCGGTCTGTGCAGGATTTTAAAGCATATAACTAAAAGCAAAATTTAAATTCCCCAAGCTTAAATGGATTTTGACTTAAGTGAGTTCCTTTGTTTTGCTAAATTTGGAATTTATTTATGAAGAGTATATAAATATGTCTTATGAGGTGTGCCACAGATAATTTATGAAGGGTGGTCTTCTGTAAAACATATTGTTAAGACCACTTTGCATGGTGTTCCTGAGAGGCTGTTCATTAAACTTCAGTACAGCATGTTGGAGAGTCTCCTTTGAACATGCTACTTATCATGGCATAAGCCCTGCTCTAATAAATGTGTTTTGCTTAAAACTTTGGTGTATTGCTTTTTGGCCAGCAAAAACCTGACTGTGATGGCAAAACCAAATAGTTAGACTTAAAAAGAGATTAGTGATAAGCATGGGCTTGGGAGAAATGAGTTCTGGAGATACTTTGCTTCACTTACTCTACATTTATATTTGGAAATGACCTTCTGCATTCATATTGAGTGCTTGCTAGTTGTATCTATGAGAAGCTTTTCATCGGTACAGCTATCTGTAATTTTGTTCTCCACAAGCCTTGAAGTAATGGGTCAAAAGAGTAAAATGGGAGAAAATGTGTGCGCTGTGTTTAAATTTGGTGTTAGCAGGGAAAGTTTCTTGTCTGTAGTATGACCAAATCATACTGCAGAAACTCATTCACGTCTAGGTCCGTTGCTATTGTGAGAGCTCTCAAAATGACGTTCGTGTCTTGTGATGTCAGATAATCGTGTGCACTGTGACTCAGCAATTTGTGAGCTGCTCAGCAGGCTACTCGGTGCCCAGTACACATTCTGCAGACATTTTTCCTTAAACCAGTTTGTTGTATATACACCGTTCTCTATTTTTCCGTAGTTAGAAAGCATTCGTTATTCTGTTTCCCATGTATGCTTCCTCCTTAGAATTTAACTATAATTAGGATTATTTGTAATTTGCGGTGTTCCTAGAGAGTAATGTTACACTAGACCAGCAAGGTTTGAAAGTTCAGCCCCCTGTTATAAGGGAAACTCGTGGCAGAGGTTGCTAGACCACACCGTTATTATGAAACCTCCCTTATATCCATAGCTATGAATGTATTTAACAGCTTGATTGTGTTTTTAGTTGGTCTTCATTCTGATACTGGTAATTGCACAGCTATGTATGACTGCTTATTTTTCAGTATTTGGCCACAGTATGTGAAAGACAGAATTCGCTCTACTTACATGTACTTTGCGGGAAGCATTGGCTTGACGGCACTGTCTGCTGTAGCAGTAAGCAGATCTCCGGCACTCATGAGCCTTATGACAAGAGGCTCCTGGCTGGTAAGCTTATATTACAAAAATAAAAACGTTTACTGAGAAAAGACCCCAAATGTGATGGTTGATACAAAAAATGTGAAGTGTAAACTACTTGGTGAAAAGCAAGGCAAAACTTCACTTACGCTGGTGTCCTTATCCATAAAGACTACTTAAGTATCCTAACGATACTTTGTCATTTACGATTTGGTGATTCTAATTACATGCTGACATGCACCTTCTATCCTTCTTTGATAGTTTGTCAAAGACAAACTACACGAGCAAAAAAATGCTATGCTATCCTTACCAGCTACACGCAAGTAAGAACCTGTTATAAATAGCCATCTGAGGCTAATGACACTATTTTTATCACTTTCTAAAAATGGAAACTGAGGTCCCTATGCATTCTTACTCCTCCCTGCGCTCTTCTGTACGGCTCCTTGAAAGCTGTCTCCTGTTTGCCAAGGCTGAAACGATACTGGTAGGCAAATCATCCAGGCAAACTGCTAACAAAATGTGTCTGCTTAGTACATATTCAGCGTGTTAAGTGGAGTGGAACGATAACAGTTAAATGCCGACACCTACATAATTTTACGGAGATTAATTTAATAATGCATCCTTGGTGACAAACCAAAGTTGCGCATTTCTGATCAGTTTGCTAGCTGCTGGATGATTCTGCTCAGAATCATCAGGAAGAGGAGGCAATGAGGTTTGAAAATCGTTGGTAGCAAAAGCATGTGAACCGAGTATTGGCTTTGGGTGGAGAAATGTACAAGAAAAAAGTAAGGCTAACATTTCAGGTACCTTAATGAGGATTAGAGTAAGGGGGCAGAACCGTATGTTTTCCTTCTCTTACCTTACACAACTAAGAGATTGTTGCTATCTTACTGCTAAACTTGGATTCCTAGAAGACTGAGTAAAAGTAAAATGGAATTGCCACAAGCTAGGATCTGCGAAGATTTGACTGTAACCTTACAGGAGTAAAATTGACAAACGCTCCAGTTATGAATTAGGTTGCTCTTTTCAGAATTACACTATTGACTTTTAGACTAGGAGGTTAGAACAGAGACCGTATGTCCTAATGCTAACTTGAGCTCTGTAATGGTGTTTTTACAGGCAATAGGTGCAACTTTTGCAGCTATGATTGGTGCTGGAATGTTGGTCAGGTCCATATCCTATGAAAATAATCCAGCAGCTAAACATTTGGCTTGGATGATGCATTCAGGTATGTGATTTTAGTGTTCGTTGTAGAGATGTCTGTGCTTCAGTGTGACCAGATTCTTACTTTAACAGAACTTTGACTTTAAGGTAAATTTTTATATACCGTTGTAGGAGAGTTAAGATTTTTCAGAGACCAATAAAACTTCCTGAATGTCAGGAAGATTTCTTAAGCGTCCTTAACACAACTCTTAATATTTTTTTCATAATTTTCTAAAAGTCATGCTCAAGTTAAATTTGAGACACGTATATGCCACATTGGATAGAACTAATTGGTTTCATAGCTGCTTTGGTTTTGTGACTGCTTTCTGGCACTATAGCTTCTGTAAGCACTATTGCCTACACTTGCCGTTCTTCAGCTGTACAGGATAGGAAAGTATTTCAAAACGACTAGAAAAATGAGATTTTTGGTGTTAAACAGCTTCTTAGATATGTGTTCCCATCAGGTACGTAAGCTGTGAGTGCAGATCAGTTTCTCACTAATGGTACCTGCTTCAAATAACCATGGCTATCATTTTTCAAAACTGTTTTGCCAGAAATAATTTATGGTTCAGGAAAGACACGTGGGTGTTAGGCACTGGAATCATATTTGCCTCTCAAGAGCTAACATTTCTACCAAGAAGAAATTGTGTTTATTTTAGTGATTGTTACTAAGTTAAACAACCTAATGTGATATTAATGGACTAGATAGAGGTTTCATACAAGACTTTAGCAAAAAGTCTGACACTTACTTGTCTAATTATTGTAGCAGAAATCTGCCCTGCTTTTCAGTGTTGAGTGTTCCTATGGCTATTATGTAGTCGATTAGTCTATGCTGAGTATCTCTTACCAGCTCTGTTTTGAACAGATCGATATGTTGACTTTTGTTAGTCTTTCTTCCAAAGACCAGCTCCTTGAAGTACTCTACAGAGCTGGATAAAAGTAGGTCATGGAATTTAAGGTTGCCAGTTTATTGTGCACCTATCTAGATAGGTGCACGATCAAGTGCATTGGTATTTTGTCATGTAAGTAGATTAGATTGAGCCATGTTATCTGACCGGAAAAAAAAGAAAATGGTTTTGGCAGGTGGTGTTTTTACCAAATCTCATGGGTGTCGTTTTGTTTTCCTTTGGCTAGGTGTCATGGGTGCAGTGGTGGCTCCTCTAGCCTTCTTGGGAGGTCCTTTGCTGATCAGAGCTGCCTGGTATACCGCTGGAATCGTCGGAGGGCTCTCCACTGTGGCCATGTGTGCTCCGAGTGAAAAATTTCTGAACATGGGAGGACCACTTGGAATAGGCTTAGGCTTTGTTCTTGCCTCTTCAATTGGTAAAATACTGTTTTAATACTGTCAGATAAAGTAGGTTATAAACTTAAGCTGCTAAGATGCAGCTCATGTTTAATTGTAGACTGGTCTGTCCAGTTAAGATTTGCCTTACAACTCTAGCACAGCAGAAAATACTCTGTTAAATTTGTTCTTGAAAACAAAGATGAAGTTACAGTTCTGACAGGTGTTAATCTGACAAACGGCCGATAGTTGTGGCTTGTATTTTTAGTTGCTGCCAGTGACTAGGGAAGATAGTAAACGTGATCATAGTTCTTGATCCAATTGCTCTTCTCCCTTACGTGTTTCTAGGCATTGTTATTGTCCTAGGGACAGACGCACTTAGACATGAAGGAAAGTACACGTGATTCCCTAGGGTGTTCAAAATTACTGGATCAGGTTGTTTACGTGGCATCTTCAGCTTGCGTATTAAAGCTCTTGGTATCAAATACGCGCCACAAATTGAGAATTGAATACTCATTGAAAAACATGTGCTACAGTAACTGAAATTTGACCCGCCTCGGAGTAGCAGATACGTATAGTAGCTTTCTTTAACGCTATTGTACATTCCTCTCCAGGATCCATGTTCTTGCCTCCTACTTCTGCTTTTGGTGCTGGCTTGTATTCGGTAGCTGTTTATGGTGGATTGGTACTCTTTGGCATGTTCCTGCTCTACGATACGCAGCATGTTATCAAGCGTGCAGAAACTATTCCGTATTACGGAGTACCAAAGTATGATCCAATCAATGCGTAAGTATTCTGTGTTAACACAGCTGATCTCATTGTCTGTGTAAGAATTTGCTTCAAGCTGTATCGTAGTATGCTTTAAAAACAGCCAGACCTTTTGTTTACTGTTCAAAAGCGTATTGCTGTTAAATGTGAAGAATCACAGGGTTTAAAAATACAATGCGAAAATAGCTAGTGGAGTTAAAACTGAAACCATCTGCCTGAAATGAGAGAAAGGGGGTTGAATGTGTGGTGTCACGCTTCCAGCAGTACTTTCTAAAAAGTATTCTTGTTTTCTAAAGCATTGCTGGGAGAATTTATAGCTGCTTCCTGAAAATACCTGTCAATATCAGCCGAGACAAAAAAGTTAACTCTTTTGTAGTAACTTAATATTCACTAGTCTTTGTCGCTAAATAAAAGCTTGAAAACAGTGTGATAGATAGGGAAAGAAAGATTAATTGACGCTCAGTAAAGACCAAGTCTGACTAACAAGTAACTTGGTTGTAAATGTTGTCTGTCTGGTCTTACCTCCTTGATTCTGGTTTTTTAGAATAATACTGACCTTCTTCAAAATTCTTGGAGATAAACAGATAAAAGTACAGCATAAAAGCAGAGGGTACTGCATGAGAACAGTATATTGTCTGTTAAGTCTGCTCCAAATAGTTTCTGCCGGCACAGATGGTAGAACAAAAATACAGGGTTTTTTTGACATATCAAGCTTTGAGGACAATCATAGTTGGGTTTTGTTACAGACGCTTCATGAAGGCTTTTAGAAATGAGGTATAATGGTGTGAAACACCAAATAATACTATTTCTGTTCAACAGTATTAACTTCGATCTCCTGTTTCCCGTTCAACAGTATTAACTTCAATCTCCTGTTTCCTGTTCAACAGTATTAACTTCGACCTCCTGTTTCCTAGGTGCATGGGTATCTACACAGATACACTGAACATCTTCATTCGGGTGGCCACCATGCTTGCGAGTGGTGGAGGTGGCAGGAGAAAGTAAACAGAGACGACTCTTCGCAGCTGTCTGACAGCCTACCTAGTGCACATACTAAATAAAAATTCATGGTTACAAGCAGTTGTGCTGCAAGACAGAAGTTTAAAGCATTTCAGCATATTGTTTCAGTGCAATGTCGTTCAGACTTAATAGTTTTTCTTCAGACACTTTCCAGCTCTGTGTTTAAAATAGTGTGAACTGCTTCTAATTGTACATTATTTTGGGAAAGTAAATTATTTTTAATCTATGCATAAAATAGTCTATCTGCTTTTTAATGGGTTTGACAGCAGTTGAACTCTTACTTTCTTTTTTTTTTTTACTGTTACTGCATAGTAAAGGAAGTAATTTCTAAACTGGTATCTCATATGCAGGTAGGGACACAAGCTACTTCATGAGATGCTGTTGAGATGCATCAGTTTTCAGTTAAGATTGCGTAAATTATACTTCAGTGACACGTTAAGAAGAACTGAACAAATTGGATATGGCGCTAAATGCAGTAACGACTTCTGCCTGGGCAGAAATTTCAGAAAGGTTTAAGCCGTTGCCAGAAATGCATTGGATTTGACAGGTGAGGTGACCAAAAAGTATGAAGGAGACAGGATGAGGAAACTATGCGGCGTTTGTCCTATACGAATTTAACTCTCTTTTTGGAGTACACGTGAGAACTCCTTGCTTTAATGTTGACTGGGTATAATAGCTAGGTTCTTTTGATACTAGAGATTTATCGAACTGTTGAATAGCAATAGAGGTGTGTCTTTCTTCCAGTGACTAAATTTCAGTATTGCGGATGATGCCCCGTGCTTCAGAAGAGCTCCCGGTGCTCGTCTCTTACAAGCTTGTACAGTTGGCACAGGGAGAGGGATTTGAGCATGGCCTGCTGTAAACCCAAGTGTCAGACATTTACCGTACTGTTGTATGCTTTAGCCCGTGTCTAACTCTTCTCCAAATTGGTACATTTAGCTTGGTCTAAAAGAAATGTTCCCTATCAGTGAAATTGATTTAACATTAAGAAAATTTATACTTGCCAAACTGTATTGCTCGATGTTGGGATAAAAGGTGAGTTCTTGGGCACAAGAAAGTTTTGAGCTAATGTCAACAACTCAGACTTTCAATTTCTGGTAAATATGCTATGTATATGTATTGACTTACGGAACAATAAAATTCTAGCCTCGCAAGTTGACGGCTCTCACTTTCCCTGTGTTAATAGAAATACTTTAGTACCCCTGCACTAATAACTTGAAGAGTCCTATAAACTTTTTTTGGCTACCATTTCCTTTGTAAGAGAGTGCAAAAAAAAAAAAAAAAAAAAAAAAAAAAAAAAAAAAAAAAAAATCCACAAAGATGATTTCCAGTTTCACTGGCTAATATCTTTTTGGGGATGTTTCCCAGGTGGAAGATGCTGATCTGCACTTGCTTCAAGTGGTTCTGCTAGCGTAACCTGTTGGCTACCGACTACGGCCAGTGCTGCTTTTATGTCTGTCATACACTGTAGTATTTTTAGTCTCTTCAATCATAGGGAAGAAAGTGGATTGTGAAGAACCTGGTTGCAACTCCTTTGTGCCCAAAGGTTATACGGCACAATCTGGTTCCTGGCACTATTGCAGCTGAAGGAAAATCTAGTACTTGGATGGAAGAAATCTCTGGATCATGTCAAGTGTAAGTAGCCTGTTTAGAGGGTTTCATCTTTCTAAGCAATTTCATATGCTTAATCAATTTCTACATACTGTTGCTGTAGCTGAACACAGCAGTGTGCTTGTCCTTAAATTCTGACATCTACAGGGAGCTGTCTTACAACAAAATTCTAATATTTGTGCCCATAATAAAAGAAAACTCGGGCAAAACTCCTTTTGTCTAGATGCTGAGGACAAAGTTTTAGAGGTTGACTGTGAACCAAGAGGGGGATCCTGGATTGTTTGAAACATAAGGTGTAGAACACAACAGCCTACTTAAGGGAGGTGCTTGCATGGAAAGTGAAACCAACAGGAAGGTCTAATGACCTTTTAAGAAAAAACAGGCCAAATAGTGCCTGAGGAAGCATGAGCACTCATTTGTGCTCAGTCTTCTGAAAAGATGTGGCTCGCCTCCTGTCGATAAGATTAGATCAGTAGGAAAATACTTTTTGTCCTGGTTTCGGCTGGGATAGAGTTAATTTCCTTCCTAGCAGCTGGTACTGTGCTGTGTTTTGGATTTAGGGTGAGAACAATGTTGATAACGCACCGATGTTTTAGTTGTTGCTAGGTAATGCTTACACTAGGCAAGGGCTTTTCAGTTTCCCATGCTCGCCGCTGCTCAGGGACTGGCTGGGCATCGGTCGGCGGGTGGTGAGCAATTGTACTGTGCATCACTTGCTTTGTGTAGTATTATTATTATAATATTATTATCATCATTTTATTTCAGTTATTAAACTGTTTTTATCTCAACCCATGACTTTTTCTCACTTGTGCTCTTCCAATTCTCTCCCCCATCCCACCGGGTGGGGGGCAGTGAGCGAGCGGCTGCGTGGGGCTCAGTTGCCGACTGAGGTTAAACCACGACATCTTAGTGCTATCTAGTGTGGGTCTCCAAAAAGGGAAAAACAAGAGTTGTTCCTTTACACTTGAAGTCCTAAGTGAAGAATTTCTCTTAATTAAGACAGCTCTAATTTGGAGAGGGATGAAAATTGAAAATGTGGTAGTTTGATAGGCACAAGAACAGGTGCCCATTTTTTCAGGGGAGCATCTGAGAGCTTGTGCTGGCTTACTGTCGGGCTTCAAGTTGCCTGTTGGCATTCCAACAGTAAACTTTCTAGAACTAAAAAAATTGTTTAGATTTATCAGTAGAACTTATTAGACCGATGTTATTGTAAGCAATTTATTTTGGGGTTTTTTTTTTCCTTAATTGAGAGGTCTAATTGTAAAACTTGAGAGATTCTTTTAAGTAGGTATTAGGGTCCGTTAAGTATGTCTTGCTCAGCAGCTTTGAGAGCAAATGCAGCTGAGGAAGAACTTTTTTTTTCCCTCCTCCTAAGCACTGAATACTTCCAGAGGGAAATTAGATGCCTTATATCCTAAATTTCAGATCTGTAAAAGCTGATCAACACTGTGGTTAGACCCTCTAATTCTTAATGCCCTGTTTCATATGCTTCTGTAAACTAGGAAGGGAAAATGGTTGTTATTAGGAGGGTATAAACTCACAGAAATCCAAAACTAGCTGAGGAGTAAAGCTTAAATTTTCTTTCTTGAATAAGGAATGTTACTTAATTTATTTTGCTCCTTAGGGAGCTCTTGTTCACGTTTTTGAGAGTTGGTTATAAGAGGTTGGTTATAAGGGTTTTTTTTCCCCTCTTTTGGTTCATTGTTGGGTCAGGTTGAAGAGGGTTATACATAATTGTGTTGCCTTACTGACTTTTAGTAAAGACACTTATTACAGAATTTTGCTGGGTGTTTTTAAATAACTACTTTTAAGGGGAGTGAGAGAAATCAGTCACAAATGCAAGCAAGATCAAATATTTTAATGGTTTCCCCTTTCAAGTAAATAAACTCGTATTTAAGGAAAACACAGTTTTCAAGTGAGGTTTAAGAAGTTTAGTGAAAAGAAGCTTAAGCAGCTGCTTAACTGACAACAAATACAGGAGAAATACATATTTGTGTGTAAGCATAGCAGGAAAAAAAGGGAATGGCAAGTTTCATTAGCCAGGAACAGGACCGTATCAGAATCATGATAAAACAGGGTAGAACCCAGGAACACAGTTCAAGGGAGGAAATTTCAAAACTTGCCAGAGGTTAACGGGGGTTGTGGTTAGTTCTCTTGAAGTCTTCCAAGTCAATTTTGAATCTCATGCTGTAGTGCAGTTGTTACTGGGAGCAATGTTTTGGTAGAAATTATGCAGCAGGTTGGGCTGGATGGTCAAGTTACGGCCTTTTTTAGGCTTGAGATGTAAATGTCTGTTCAGCAATTACACAGTAGTGGTGCTTGAGAGTCTATTTCATCAGTTAACTGAAGCAAGTCTGTACACGTTATTCACTTGTAATTCACGGATGCAAATATAGTCCAAGGGAAGAAAGTGGGGGTGAGGTGGAAAAGGGTTTCTGTTCTTTGTTTTGTTTGTTTTACAGACAGTAAAATTGAGGATCTACGGTTCGGTGGCTGCAGTGGATTCAATCGCATTGGTAGCTCATACCAGTAAAGGTGGACAAAGATGCGTGCCACGTTTCCAGGCTGGTTATCAGGTAGTCCAAGGCAGCAAGAATTGCTTCAAGAGCGACACGGTTGATCTTTTGCCCGTGTGCCCTTTCACATTGGAGTGTGGGTGTGGGTAGCATCCAAGTGGGGCAGACGTGGGTGTTGGGTGGGAGTAGTACTTGCCTTGGCAGAGAGTGCGTAAGTACAACGGAGGCAAAGACCTCCACCAAAAAAAAAAGCCGGGTGAAAGTGTAGTATTTCCAGGAGACACGGATTACAAAGCTCAGAGCTCCCTCCTCCTCGGGTTCCACCTGTGGTTCAGGGAATTAGCTGAAGTTCATTGTAAATGCCACCTAAGAAACAGTGGGAGAAGTGGGAAGGCAGAAAATGTTCTTAAGCAAACTGGAAGTGGAAGACTAGAAGCAATGAACATCTTGAGAAGCAAGTCATCTTCAGACTTGCCCAGAAGAAGGAAAGGTCTTTAACAAATAAGGTCAAAGAATATACAAAATTGTAAGACAGAAGTGTGTCAGGGGAGCGGTTGGAGACAGGAGATGGAATGAAAACACAGATTGCTGTATGTCCTGCTGACCTGCGACTTTAGCGTCTGTCAGCCAGAAGTTTGAGGCATTTGTACAATAGTCGTCTTTCAGGCATTAATTTTATGAAAGGAGCAGCAAACGTATTATGTCTTTGCAGCTGAAGAAAGGCTGTTGCTGTTTGCTAAGGTGACTTGGGGGCTGGGAAGGAAATTGAGTGCAGAGGTAAGTATTTCTGAATCATTCAGGGGAATAAGGGATGCATCCTTAGATTTGCATTACTAATACTTTATGTTCTAAAGCTACAAAGGATGTCTCTCAAAATCTTGAAAAAAATAGTTTGAGTTCTTATCGTTAAATTAAGGCACGCTCCAGAGCATCTTTTTGTACTTGCCAAAAAGAAACTAGATAAGCTCTTAAAATTGCAGTCTACATAGAGTCATCGTTTCTGGAGGTGGTATGCTAATATATTATAAGATTCATTAATGTTTTGTTAAAAGCTCATGCCATTCTAAGAAGAATCTGCATTTTGTATATGAGAATTTCTTCTAACCAGGTTGAAGCAGCTGGTTGTGGCATAAGGAGAATAAAACAGTGGGAGCAAATGGTCTTGTTGAATTTAGAGATGAATGGAACTAACTTTTGAGCTGTGAGAAGGCAGGGAGCATTAAGGACTTTCAGGATACGAAGTTAAGTTAATTCAGCCTAGAAGCTGCAGGCTGTAGTTGTGTTCACTGTATTGGAGGCAGCAGTGACAGCGTCTGGGATATAGTAACTAGCAAAGACCAGAATGAAGAGCAAGACTGAGATTATCATTTCTCCTAGCAGTTTATGGCGAGTTGATAATCACTCAGGAGACTGTCCTGGAGCAGGCTTTAAAACGTCTTTCACAGAGCTTTTTCAGCGAGTGTCCTGCCGCTCCTCGGTTTGTGCCCTGCAAGTAAAGCCATCTCTGCAGAGCTGGCAGCAGAGGTGCCGCTCTCGTGGGTGGTGTTTGTGGTCTCCGCGCTCCGTGTTTTCACCCTTCGGGATAGCCTTGCTCTATTAAGGTGGGGCTTGTAGCTGTATTTGTTTTGCTTGTGTTTAACTTTCCGCCTGCGGGCAACGTGGTGAAGATGGAATAACAGATGTGTCCCCTTCCCCCCTGGTTTCTTACGTGATTTCTGTTCTCTCTCCAGTCTTTCAAGGCCTTAGATGTGATGAGGGCCAGTTTATCTGGTAGGCTTCTAAACAGAGAGCGTACCGAAACGAGGCAAGGCTTCAGTCCAAAAACATTTACGTTGGATGCAGCGCTAAGCGTGCTACGCGCGAGGGAAACGTTTTCTTCTGGCGGTAGTCCGGTCCTCTAGCTCAAGCAAGGTGTGATTTAGGAAACTGTTTTTGACGGCTAATCTGCCAGAGCTGACAGCGCGGTGACGGGGTGATGAGAGGAGCTCTGTAACTGCCTCGTTATGGAGGCAGATCTGTTGCCACTGTGTGT